AGTGATGATGTTTACAGTTGAGAGAATAAATGAACCAGGGGCACTGAACTGTAAAATAGGGGCTATATATTAGGGCAAGTAATTGGTATTCCTGAGCTATATAGTCTGAAATTGCACACAAAGTGAGTGAGTGGCCAGGTTGTGGGAAACCTGTGTGCTCTGTTGAGGAGCTTGCACTTCATGGGATAGTTCTTTTGGGCCCTATCATTGTAGAAACACTTATATACAATTCCTAAAAGGCTGAAGAGACTTGTGTCTAGTTGAAGTAGAAATGATCTCCTTCCCCTGCAAACATAAGACCTCTCTTTTGAAAATCACTGCTGGAGCAAAGGAGAACCACTGAAGGGCGGTAAGCCTCGGAATGACATGATCATATTTGCATTGTGAACTAGCATGTATTAAAATGCAGATTTAAGGGGCAGATATCAGTAAAGAATCTATTGTAAGAATTGAGTAAAAGAAAATAAGTATTTATCACCAGGTATGATAAAGTAACTGTTATGATAAAGTGACTAATCCTTATTCTGTAAACAATAAAGCCAGCCCATTCCCCAATATACATATTTATTTATCATTCATTGTTGTATAGTGTGCAGCCTAACACTGCAATGGTCATTTTACTGCAGCTACCTGCTATGTACAATTTCCCAATTGTGGCACAGCAATCCAAACTTGAAGCTGAGAAGGCAGAGAACCTTCGGGGAAGTGCAGATCTACTGAACAGGAGCCTATCTAGAGATCTTGGCCAAGAATTCTGCTATGTTTTTGCAGGGAAGAGATTTTCCAGAGGACAACTAAGTATTGAGAACACAAGAGATATTCACTGTTAATGCTGATCAGAAAGGCCTGAACTTGCCAGGGAGAGATTCTTTTAAACCACCTTCACTACTCCTGGAATCTATGGGAGACCATACCTCGAAAACAAAGAAATTGAAGTTTAGTAAAGCTAAGTAGTTTATGTATCTTGGTTTACTAAGAATTTATGGCCAGGATTTAAGAGTAGAATAGTTAGCAACATCGAAAATAGATGAGCAGGCCTCAGCTTTACCTGCCTTGAATGTCTTAACACTGGTAAGGTTTCAAAGCCCTATTGGATGATTACAATTTGAGGAAAGTTGAAAGTCTTATATTGAGATGCTTATCCATGGTAGGAAGGACAGAAAACTATACCTTATGGCAGTGGCTGTCAAGTGGAGTAAGCATCTGAATCCTATTGAAACAGAGCATTGAACTTTACCACATTTCTGATTTAGGGAGTGTGGGTGGATCCTGAGAATGTGAACTATAAAACTCTGTTAATCCCAGAATAAATTGAAATTAATTTCCATGTAATTATAAGTAAGGTGAAACATAATTTATAGGAAGCATATATGTACGTATGTGAATATAAATATTACATGTACCACCTTGCAGTGCAGGTGTCATGGACAGTTTGCTAAGAGGACAAAGAAACCAAAACTTACGTTTTATTTTGTTGTAAACACACCTTAGAAACTATTATTCTTATTGTTTTCTGCTTTCTTCTTTTATAGAAGACAGAAATTAAAGTGCTTGATTCTTCTCTCCCCCTTCTCCCTTCCTCACCTTCCTCACTCCTTTCCTCCTTCTTCCCTCCCTCCCCCCTCCCTCCCTCCCTCCCTTTTTTTTTTTTTTTTTTGACTCCAGACTGATATAGAAGCCCAGTCCAAGGCCAAGGAAATGTAAAAACTATTATCAATTCATAGAATAGAAACTGGGAAATGTATAAGTAATTAAGAACAATTCTTGAGACAATAGTATGACGTGGTCAAATAAATTTAGAACAGTCAAAAGAGAAAATTGCTATCTGAAACTGTCTCTGTAACAGAATCCTAAGATTAGTGAACTCTGATTTGATTCATTTGAAAGGAATGACATTACCTATAAATATGTATCTTTAAAATATTGTATCTAAGGAGCACTCAGACTATTAACACAATAAAATATTCTTGAGAAATTTCATCTTAGGGATACTGGAGAGTTGGCTCAGTGGTTAAGAACACTTGCTGCTTTTACAGAGTTCGGTTGCCAGTACTCAAATGAGGTAGTTTATAGTTAGCTCATCTTATCTCCAGCTTGAAAGGATATATCAATGCCTTCTCTTGGCTTGTGTGGGCATGCAGATAAAAATGCCTCTCTCACACACACATACACACATTTATATGAATAAATAAATAATAAATGAAAAGAAATTAAATCTCATGATGTTCTTTTTTTCTTTGAATCTAGAGTAAAACAACCTAATTTTTTCAGAGTAAATACTTTGAATAAAATGTGTGATAATAGTTTAACTTTAAACATTAGAGATGAAGCATCTCTGTTAATACTTGGAGAAAATAATTGACTATAAATTTTAGGCCCAAATAGTAAGGCTGATTTATTATTATTATTATTATTATTATTATCATCATCATCATTATTTTTATTATTAATTATCATTATTATTGTCATTATAGTGGAAACCTAGCATATAGTTTATAGAAGTTTGTTTCCCTTTTCATGGATATGATCTTTATAAATTTCCACAGGGAGAAAACTATCTTCCCCTGAAACACTATAAGCAATTGATGTTTCTGTAAAGCTTAAATGTTTATTCAGGTAATAGTTGAAAACCACTACAACTGTTATGTTTATTTGCTCAGTGATTCCAATTTTTTCTTTTCTTAATTTACTCCCTTTGTTTCTACTTTTGGAGCAAGTAAAAGTTACTTTTGCCTTTTAAAGTAAAAGTCACTTAGCCTTCTAGTGCTACTCTTTAATTATTTAACTAGAGAAGATAGAGTTTACTTTGAAAAGGGATGGATGACTTAGGTTACTGTTCATGGTGTTTTTATTACTTAGTACTTTAGGAATACCTTTATTGATTATGTGACCTCTGCTTTAGCAATTTTATCTTTCTTAATTCTACCCTTTGATTTCTTGCTGTATGAAGAGTAAGCATAGTTCATCTAATGAAGGGAGAGTAAAGAGTGTGTAAACTTTCAGTAAACTTGTAAAGAGTGTGTAAACTTTCAGTACTAAGGAAGTGCTTGGATGTGTATTCTTTGAGTGCTTCATAACAGAAAGCTATCATGTTCTTGACCCCAGTTACCAGGGGTTGGATTATAGATCATTGCAGAAGTCATATGCAAGTAAGTTTACCTGCTCCTGCTTTGCTGGATCATTTGATGTGATGCTTGTTGTATGTAGTTCTTGGAATATAAATTATTCCTCAGGTGTCAGTAGATAACTATAATGCCTCTTAACAGTGCAGGATTATCTGTTTTCTTCCTAATGATTAGTGTTGTGTACTGTTAAAGACATTTTTCCCATATCCAAGATCACCACAGTAGCATTCTGCAAGCCTTATTGTGTTACTTTCCTCTTTTAGGTCTCCAACATGCTCTGCCATTAGTTTTGTATGTGGTGTAGGAATAAATCAAGTCCTATAGCCTTAATCGTCATAAAGATTACCTGATTGACTTAGTACCAGTGACTGAAAAGACTCCCTACTGTTCTACTGGGCTCCCTTTGTTACAATATAGATCCCATATATTTCCTTAGCATTAAATGTTCATCATTGTTAACTTAGATTTCTTAAAAATAATTCAAAAAGCATAAGAAAATTTATAACTGATTAGTTACTGACATACTTTAACAAACTAATGCAGTTTGTGATGAAAGTTAGAAATTGTTATTTGTAAAAAAAAAAAAAAACTTTGCCCATTACTTCATCATTAGAATTGTCTGTGGATTTTGTTTTCTACAGTTTTACTTATCCATGACCAAACATAATTCAGAAATGCTTTATAAAAATACCAGAGACAAATAGTTCTAATTCTTAAAGCATTGCGTTCTGTACAGTATCTTTAGTACAGTTATAGTATAGTGTTATTCTGATGGTGCTTGTCTTTAAGTATTCTTTGTTTTACTTTAGAATAACTGAAACATAAGAGTAGATGCTAGTAGTCTTCTAATGCCAAAGAGAAACTGTGAAGTGCTTCTATTCATTTAATGAAAAGGTAAAAATAAGATAAATTTATTGAAACATGGGGTAGTAATGGAGAAAAAATGACATTTCAGTAACTTTATGTTGCTCTGTTTTATTAGTTATTATTATAATCTCTTATTGCATGTAACTTACAACATAAAATCTGTCATAGATTGTGTTGGGAAATATAATATACACAGGGTTTTATAGTAGCTATATTTTCAGGCATCAGTTGGTTCATTGGGGCCTTGGACTCCATCTTCCCGAGATGTGAAGAAACTACTATGCCCCACCCACTGAAGATGCCATCCATTATTCTGCAATAATATAACTTGCTGAATTGACTTTTAAAAACATTCATTGTTCTCATTTATTTATACAAATAACTATTCAGTGTGGTTTTGAAACTAATAATTTTTTACTATAATAGAAACAGTCACTTCTTTGAGATAGAATATGCTGTTTTATCTTTGTGCCTGTGCAACTATCTATGTTTGCATTGAAAATACACTTTATTAACTAGATTTAATTATTTGATTCTAATACTGAATAAAAGTTGGGTGACTTTATTTAAAAATCTTTAGCAAAACCAACGCTCTTTTCAGAGAATATTGAAACTTAATTTTTATGGTCAGCTTTTGTTTCAACATTTGTCTTTGAATATTGAATAAAATTAAAGTTTGTAAACCAGTTTCTGATACAGAGGAGGCTTTTGTGTGGGTGTTATATTTTGTTCTCTGAGCTTCCAGAGCAGGTTCACACAGAGGATTTGTACTGTCTCCAGGGAAGCTAATTTACATACTCGCCTTTCCAGATCCTTCAGTTTTCTTTCTAAAGAGCAGCTTCCTGTAAAAGCCTTGGTAATCTTAACATCTCTTACACTTCATTTCTACATTCCTCCTACTTTCAAATCTCATTCCACACTACTATTTTCATTAATTAAAGAATTATTCAATCCGAAAATACTTAGACAAGTTCATTATTTTGTTTTCCCTTTTTCTTGGCTAAATAGATACCTGTGGAAGGACAGGAGCAGCAGACAGATTCCACCAAAGGACGATGCCTGAGGAGAACTGTCAGTGTTCCTTCAGAGGGTCAGTTTCCTGAGTACCCAGCAGAGGGCACCGCTAAACTAGGTAAGCTAAACAAAGGAATCCCTGCGTTTTATTGGATGATTGGTGGATTTGTCTCTTGTTAAACCTGTGTGTTCAAGTCAATAACTTGTTAATTCAGATCTGAAGTTCATCGAGTATAACCAAGCAGCTGCAGTTCTTGTATGCTAATAAATTTATCTGTGCCCTACTAAATAGGGTTGATGTTTGGTTTAGGCAAGTTGGATGGCATATTTCTGTACTATTGCTGATCTCTGGGTTTTCAGAGCATTGGTAGTATTGTTTCAGTCACTGTGTGAAGGAACTTGGTATTGAGACACACCCTTTTCATAGCTGCTGGTGATTTCACTGTTCAGAGAAGGATAATTTAACTTTGTATGTTCTACATAAATTATATTCAGACCAGTGTTTAAAGTAGATGACGGAAAAATGTTAACCCTTTCCATTTCCGATCAGGGATAGCTTAGTGATGATCTCACTGTTTCCCAAATCAGAAACACCCTAAACACATTTCAGTTGTTTTTATTCCAAAATAATTGTTCAATATCAAAGCAGCTAGCTTTTCCACCATTTTATATCCCATATATTATTAAGTGTTATTGTTTTGCAATATTTAAATAATTAGACTAGCACAATAATTTAAAGGAATATACAATTTAATGAGGAAATTTGAAAAATAGTACCTGCTTTGCGACTTTTGCATTGTATTATTATGTATTGATGAACCTTAAATATTTTACTCATGGATACATGGTCAGTAAATAAAATGAAATTATTTATTGTTTCTGTGGTGGTGGTCAATGTGTATAATTCTTTGATTTGGGTTATTTTTCTAAGGTTTTTCTTGTCTAAATGAAGGTCATAATTTAAACCCTTCATTTCTCTTATGTCTTTTAAAACTTTCTGCCTTTAAAAAAAATTAGGCTAGCAAATATTCTCTCCAAGTTTATTCTTTGGAGAAACCATATTCTGGTCATCTGGTTTTCTTTGAACCACTTTAGCATGTGTTGAAGTCAATGTTGGTCCACATAATATTAAAAACTTACCATATTGTAAATGGTTTATATCTTGTTTTATTTCACATGCACTGATATTGCATATATATATAAACTGGCTAAGAGCCACCGGCTTTCATTTCCTGTTTTCATTATTTCTGCTGTATTGAAGTACTTTGAGGAAGTACAATCATAGTCTGAAGAATTACTGCAGAGTTCTAGAAGAGACAGTTAATGACTATATGGTAATTAGTTAAATATCTGTTGTGTTCCAGGTACTGTTCCTAAAGACAAAATAAGATGGCGGGTAGCAAAGGTGTCTGATCTCAAGCTGTTTTCTGGCTTTTTTCTAAACAGATCTGGAGGTTGTCCTGACTAAATGAGACTTAGTGACCATTTTGAGAGTTGTTTTCTAAAATTAGCTCTGAATTTACCCTCATTAATATGAGAGGGCAAAACTTATCTCTGGAGATATTCTTTTTCATTCCAGTTGAATTTTTTATTAGTTATCTTATTTTATTTTTATTTCCTGGTGAATTTTCTTTAGGCAAGATTACCTTTTGTTGAATGTTCCGTTGAACATTTGTGTTTGTCACATTTGGTGCCAGTCTCAAGAATAAAAAAGTGTATAGTAGGTTTTTAGGGATCGTGTGTATGTGTGTGTGTGTGTGTACGTGTGTGTGCACACGCGTGCGCGCGCGCGTGTGCACATGTGCACGCACACTCACATGTGTGTTGGTTTTGTTTTATTTAACAAGATAAAAAATACATATAGAAACAAAAATCAATATTTAAAGATTAATTAATTGTTTCTACTGGTATCTCTGTATGCCTGAAAGTAGAAATTGAAAAAAATATATGCTTAGTACATCATCACACAACAATAGCTATCTAGGAAAAGAAGTCTAATGTGGTGTGCGGAACTTCAAGATAGAAAATTATAAAAGGTTTTAAATAAGTGAAAGTCCGGGAGGGAGAGTTGTACTGAGTGTTTGAGAGCTTGGCTAGCATACATGAAAGACTGGATTCAGTCCTTGGCACCAGATAGGAGAAAAGTGTGTGTGTGTGTGTGTAGCATTTTTGTATAGAAAACAGTATTCTCTCGTGATATTTTGTCAGTTCTTAGGGTTGAAATTACAGAATGAGATTACTTTTCTAAGTTATCATATAGTCTTAATTTCACCTAGAAATGCATAGACCAAGAATATACAGGATATCTGGGAGTGGTGGTGTATACCTTTAATACCAGCACTCTGGAGACAGAAGCAGATGCATCTCTGTGCATTCAAGGCCAGCCACAGTCTTATAAAAGTCACTATGTCAAAACAAACAAAACAAAAATAAAAATAGGACAGATTAGAAGAAAAGAAAACAAGAATACCTAACTTCTTGATGTTCACATCTGTTTAAATAGATCTAATTGAATAGAATTCAGAATTCTGATATGGTTATATTTTTATGTAGGACATACATTGTTACAAAGAGGGTCTGAAAGAGCAGTAAGGTGAGCAGTCTTTTCAGCCATTGTGTCAGGTCAATCAGATAATCCTAAAGAACAAGGGTGTAGGTCTTCACTTCTTTCCTAAGTCATGAGCAGAACCAGTTCAGATATGTTGTAGGTTTAAAGCAGGAGTAACACAGTAGACTTGCAGAATGTCTTTAACAGAAGACAAATAGCATTACTCATTAGGAAAACAACTGATTTAATTGATAAAGATTAAAACTTGTCAAAATACTAGTAAGAAAGTTAAGAGACAAATGATGGAGCAAGACAGTGTGCTTGTAAGATCAATGATGGGACATGGTTGACTCGGTGTATGTACAGGTTTCCTAGTGCAAAATGAGTGAGAGACTTGGCACAGTATTTTACTTAAGAATTCACTGAACAGTACACCCAGTGGTGCCTGCTGGCTCATTCATTTAGAAGAAGCTCCAAGTCGCAAAACTAATCTTTGGTGTTAGAAGTCAGGGGAGTGGTTAGTTTCAGGTAAGGGGCAGGAATTAGCAAGATGAAAGGCTCTGACAAGCACCCGGAGTACTTACAATGTCCTTTGTTGACTCAGGCGGTGCTTGCACTGTTCATGTCCACTTGGGATAATTCATGAGTTTCGAGCACTTCTCTATATGAGTGTTACACTTACCAAATCTGGGGGGGGGGTGGTTTGCAAAGATCATGTTGTCAAATAAATGGACAAAATAATTGAGCAGAGAGGATGGTTAAGAACTACTATCAACTTTATTATATGTTACTGAAGGGAAGCATTAAGATAAGGACAGAAAAATCAAGCAGTCTTGGTACTTAGTGACATTAAGTTTCTTAGTGAATTTAGTATAAAATAGCAGTTTTGGTGGTATGATAATAGCAGAAGCCATACTGAAATGGTTTGAAAGATAGTATATTCAGAGAGGAAATTGAATAGCAAGTGGGGACAACTCACTTTATATGTTGCCTGTCAAAGGGATGGCAGGTTGCTAGATACTCGGTAAGTAGTGACTGAATGAGTAAGGAAAACTAATGAAGAATAAAGATGATAAAGGACAGGGGATGCCTGTTAATCAGTCATGGTGACAGTATTAGTGTCGTGATAGTAATGATTACTATGTCATTCTTTCTTTTTTTCTTTTTTCTGTGTTTGTTTTTTTCTTTTCTGAGACAGGGTTTCTCTAGCTTTGGAGCCTGTCCTGGAACTAGCTCTTGTAGACCAGGTTGGACTCCAACTCACAGAGAACGATTCGCCTCCCTCTACCTTCCGAGTGCTGGGATTAAAGGCGTGTGGCACCACTGCCCAACTTAAATTTTTTAAAATTCTGTGTTCACTAGGGATTTTGATTTGTAGTTCTCCTTTTTTCTTTTCCTTTTCTTCTTCCCCCTCCCCTCCCCTCCCCT